GTGAGTGAGTGAGTGACTGTGTATATGTGTGTGTGTGTGTGTGTGTGTGTATTTTTTTGAACAAAAAAATAAATATTAATAACAAGAAGGACGGTTGAGAAATTAAAATAAAATATTTGAAATAAATCGTAGTTATTGTTTTACAAAATATACTTTTGTCTTCATTAATACAAGATATCTCTAAAGAGTAAATATTAAAGCATTTCATAGAATTAAAGTAAACCAAATAACCAAACGATGACATAGAATTCCAAGCATTTATTTCAAAATATTAAACGAAAGCAATAATAGTTAAATTAATATAACTATTAGTATAACAGTTATACTAATAGTTAAGCTTTTATCATAGCGTGGCACTTAAGTTGTTTGATCTAATTCTGCCATTTCACCACGCATTTAAAAAAAAGTGTTTTTTTATATGCTTTAACATTAAAGTAGAAACTCTTGATGGTTTTTTTCTGTATGTTTCAAACATTTATTTTACAATTTTTATTACCAGCATCTAACAGCTGACCCAATTCTAAGTTTATGACTGTCAATTCACCTCCGTCACCTTGTAATTTTCAATTCAACTCAGAAGACATGGGAACTCCTGGATCAGACATTTGGACAAACTGAACTTCGTTGAGGACTTTTTGATGGAATTAACCAACACTTGCGTTGTATAGAGAGAAAAATCATGAAAATCAAGCATGGACTGTCAGAAGGAAATGGAATTCTAATCCATGATTCATGTACCACTGAGAATATTTTTCGTCAGCGGTGCGAGCTGAAAGTAGAATTTGTATCAGCCAGCCATAGCTGGGATTCAAACCTGGGTCACCTCATAGGGAGACGAACGCTCTATCCCTCTGAGCCATCGCGGCTCGGCTCTGGTTCAAATATTTGTCATAGGCATGAACTAGAATACTTAAGGATGATCCACTTTGACGTCATCACGATGTGTTTCTTTAAGTTTCTCCAGGCCCAACTGCCTACAGCGCCCTCTAGCTATATTTAATGGAAACGCTTTGTTGATTCAGTTGATATGAATAGTTTACACTCTACGGTACATTATGTAGTGCTTCTGCAATATTTTTATTTTTTTCTGTGCTATTATATTTGTGCATGATTAAATGAATAGTAATTATTTGTGATATATTGTTTTAAAGTTGAGTTTTATGTTTCCTTTTTAAAAAAATCGTTGATTTCTGATTAGACTAGGTGGCTTTATATTCGTGTTTTGAAATTTTTTCACTATGTGCATTTACGTAAAAAGCATAAAATTTCCGTCATTTTCATATCTTTTATCTTATATTTCAGTTCTATTATTCGTGAAAACTGTTTCTGCCAAGTTTTTATTCATTCTGGTTGTCTTGTTTATCTTATTCTGTGATATGACAAATTCTACTTTAAACGAAGAAAATAAAAAATTCTACATTATTTACATTTTCTGCATTTATTATTCTATTTGTTTAGAAAAGATTAATGGTGTATGCTTAAAGATCTCATCTATACAAATATGAGTTTTATTCCACATAAAAATAAATGCAAAAATAAGAAAAATGGTGGGAAATTAAAATAAATGTAATTCACTTAACACAATGTACTTTTGTATTCATTAAAACAATGCATCCTTTAAGAACTAAGCATTTCACAGAACTAAAGTAAAATAAATAACCAAACGCTTACGAAGATCTTCATTAATGGGATACCTGCAAGTGACATAGTGTGGGCATCTCGATCTTGGTTGTTGAAACGTGGCATTTGTTTACGTTAGCAACTACTTTTTCCATTCTATTTCGAGTAAGCCAAGCCCGTCAAGTATGAATTCTCTTAAGTGGCGTACTCTATATTCTTACAAAAAGACTCTTGACTTAAAGATTTCAATTCATTAATTATATATTTCTTACTTAGCACAAAGACAGGCATGAAGCCATGAAGAACATAAACACATTAATTATGCATCAAAGTTGCCAGGTACACAAAGCAAAAATATATCGCGGTTGCAATAAAATGCATTAACCATTAATAAATTTAAGTTAAGTAAAAGACTTTGACCAGAAAGAATTATATTTCAACAAATTTGATGTACGCTACGGCTTGTTTTTTTCCCCACAAGTTAGTTAACATTCTAACTAAATAGGAGTAACTTAGCTCAACTTTAACAAGCTATTTTGCTTATAAAAGATCAGCTGGAACGGGCGTCATAGGTCACATGTGTGAGTATGTATGATCTTCTTCTTCTCGAAGTGCAAGTACTCAATTCTATTAAAAATAATAAAAAACCGATGAACTTATCAATCCATCAGTACCCAGCAAACACATTAGGTTGTTAACTTTGCGGCCCGTTGTCGGTGATATCGGCAACTGTCGGTCATCGGACAGTCTTATATCGGCATTTTATTGGCATGGTATTGGTTGTATCAGATTCGGTTCAATGCAAGACTTATTATAAAGTGCCGATAACGTATTTCAGATAACAATATTTCAACGGAATTAATATAATTGGGCCGATATCAAATAACGATATCTTATTTGTATCCATGCTAACGGAATCAGTGATTTTACTGTTGACCGATATTTAAAAGCTGGATATATGATGGGATACATGAAATCAGAGCAAAAATTTAAAACATTTTAATATTAAAAATAAATATTATTAAATGAAATATATATTTATGCTAAATTTCTTCGTATTTTTTAATATTTTATTAAAAAAAGTTTTTCGATAAAACTCAGGTAAATTAAGTTAATTTACTAGCGCAAAAATTATTAATTATTTTTATGCGTAATAATTTATTATTTTATGTATTTTCATCACAGAATTTTCTTTTTATGGTATGGTTAGTTTATTTCATTGAATTTAGTAGAAAAATCAGTTTAATTTAGTAAAAAAATTTAATTAAAACTGCCAGTTATTACTACAGAACAAATTTATAATCTTCAATTGTGTCCAAAGAGGTTCTG